TTGAACAGCATTTGGCAAATAAACGTGCAAGAAATAGTTCCGATACTGAAAAGTCAATATTCTTATTAAGTCTCATCAAAAAATTCCTTGTCTTTTAAAGAATAAAGGGAATGCCGCATTATACTAAAGCCAGACTTTCGACATAAGCTACTTTTGCATACGAACACAGATTGGTTTAACGAATACAATTTTGTGTTACGGTTGTTGTAGCAGATACTTAGCCTTACTTAGATCGGATAGTGTTTCAATCCATGTCGTTACGCTGAACTAACGATAAGTACAGGAAACGTAATTTTTCTACAGGGTCGACCAAAGGGAGACTGGTATTAGCTGAGTTGAGTTGTGAAGAGGTGGCTGGTGTCGTGGGGAATCACCGCATGCTGGACACTAATTGGGGATGCTGCTTAGGCGACTGCAGTGTCCATACCATAATTGGGCCAATATGACGCGGGTCTGTCGCGGCAAATGAAACTCATTCTCTTTAACAGTTGGTGCTTGTATCGATGTCGACATCCACAGGACGGGAGTCTGTACACATAGTCGGTAATAGCCTTCTTCTGAATGTCATTTGTAGCCTATCTGTACAGTCTCGGCTTCAACGTCTGTTGTACATGCTACTGGACCTCGTACTTCAGCTCACAGATATGCCTTCCGACGGGACTGAGTGAGGACTGTGCATGAAGCAAGCGTCTGTTCGGGTGCTCACGTCTATAACACCCTATTAGGAACAGCTTGCTGAGCGTAATTGTTGGGCCTCACTGTGTATGTGATGTTCAGAAGGCAATGCATGTCTGAAGCTTCGTCCACGGGATGTTCAGAAGGCAATGCATGTCTGAAGCTTCGTCCACGGGATGTTCACCGTCGGAATTGGTTCGCCAACGACGTGAATATCTATTGTAGCCTGACCTCTTTCGTACAGGTGGTAAAAATGACTGCCGAGTATTATGTAACTCATACGCCACGGTGCACAAATATCATTCCACAGGAACCATTCTTTTATTGTTAGCTTTAGAGCTCTTATTTTGCTAATAAGCAGGTTATAGTCATCAAGATCGGTTTCATGGATAGGTTGAATGCTAGTGATTCATAGCAATTTAGGCCTAAACGTAACTGTTTGCAGATTTCTTTTCAACAAATCTTACTAATATTATAAATGTGAAAGTTTGTATGTTTGGATGTTTGGGAAATCATCACGCGGAAAAGACTGAACGGATTTGCATGAAATTTTGTACGCAGATAGCTTAATGGTCAGATTGGTTAATAGGCTATTTTTTTTAAAGAGTTGCCACCTGTTAAAAAAGTTTAATTTATTTAATATGCGGGAACGACTGAATGGATTTGCATGACAATTTGCACACAGATAGCTTATGACCTAAATTGGAAAATAGGCTACTTTTCTTAAGAGTTGTCACCTGTTAAAAAAGTTTCATTAAATTAATACGCGGAAACGACTGAATGGATTTGCATGAAATTTTTCAGGCAGATAGCTTATGACCTACAGTGGAAAATAGGCTAATCTTTGGAAGAGTTGCCAGCTGCTAAAAAAGTTTAATTTATTTAATATGCGGGAACGACTGAACGGATTTGCATGAAATTTTGCACACAGATAGCTTATGACCTAGGTTGGAAGGTAGGCTATTTTATTTAAAGAGTTGCCATCTGTTAGAAATGTTTAATTTAATTTATACGCGGAAATGAGTGAACTGATTTGCATGGAAGTTTTCACACAGATAGCTTATGAGCTAGGTTGAAAAACTGGCTAATTTTTTTAAGAGTTACCACCTTCTAAAAATGTTTAATTAAATTAATACGCGGAAAAGTCTGAACGGATTTGCATGAAATTTTGCAAGCAGATAGCTTATGAACTACAGTAGAAAATAGGCTAATTTTTTTGAGGAGTTGCCACCTGTTAAAAAAGTTTTAATTAAATTAATACGCGGAAAGGACTGAACAGATTTGCATGACATTTCGCACAGAGATAGCTTGTGACCTATGTCGGGAAATAGGCTACTATTTTAAGAGCTGTCACGTATTAGAAAAGTTTAATTAAATTAATACGCGACCTAGATTGGAAAGTAGGCTACTTTTTTAAGAATTTCCACCTGTTTGAAAATGAAATTTTGCTCAAAGATAGTTTATGACCTGGATTGAAAAATAGGCTACTTCCGATAACTCAAGGCCCCTCCCACACAAATTGGAATTTTCATATTACATACATATCTCTGGAAGTATTTGTGGGAGAGAACTGGAACTTGGTATAGTGATATGTATGTGAAATCAATGTTGGCATTTATCGATTGATGTTTTAATCAGTTAGTTAATTCAATGAAATTCAATCTGATTACGGTTAATCGTGATTAATTTTAATCTGACTAAACAGTTAATCGTAACCGCGATTAAAAAATTAATTTTTAATCACTAACTCTTAATTTGATCAAGTAGGTTTGGTGATTAATTAAGTTATGCTGGAATTTCTCTGTGCACACAAAGCAAGTTAATCTGGTATGACTAAGTCGGGTTTCCTCATCAATCTAAGCAATTTGGTGTGCATTTTCATTAAGACATATATCAACAAACGTTTTACAAACTAGGTTTGTAAAAGTTTCCAGTTTATGTATTACTAATAACAATAATTATTGTTTTTTTATATTATGTGCTTTTTATAAGCATAAAACACAAACTAATTACTATAACTGGTGTTTGGTTTCAAACTCGGGCAAACTAGACAAATTAATCAGATTTTATTTTTAATGGGATTAACGATTAATGTTTTAAATTAATTAAACGGAATCGCAGCCAGCGATTAACGATTAAAAAACTGTCATCATTAATCGTACAGTTGATTACGGCTAATTAATTTTAATCGTCAAACCCGATTAACATTTTAATCGTTATTCAACAGTTTGCCAACACTGTGCGAAACGGAGGAAAACGGACGTTTTTGGAAAAGAGGCGTAGCACCTCCCACACTGACTGAAAGTTTCATATTGCATATCTCTTCAAATGTTTGGGGTAAAGCACTAAAGTTTGGTGTGGAAATACATATGTATGTATGTATGTGAAACTAATACCATACTCATGGGGAAAAATGAGAGTTATTGGAAAAGGTGGTGTAGCAACTCCCATACAAACTGATTTTTCTATGCTGCATATCTCTGGAGGTGTTTATTGCAGAGGACTGGAACTTGGCACCGAGATGTGTATACAAAATTAATTTCATACTCATGGAGAAAAATTTGTGTTATTCAAAAAGGAGGCATGCCGCCTCCCATACATACTAAAGACTTCTTAATATATATCTCTGGAAGGATAGAAAATCTCTCGAAGTATTTTAAATTTGTTATGGAGATTTATTTTATAAGTGCCGCACTGACTGAATAAATTTCATTAAATGGAAAAGGGAGAGCCGGGTTCGGCCTTATAATCTAAAGCTCTCTTGAGGCATTTGCTATAGTAATGAGAAGTGGTATGTTATCAAGGCCATGTTACTAAATTTGAGTTGGAAATATTAGAACCCGCCGTGGCACCTCCAAGAAGGTTACACGTTCACGCGTCGTATACCTGGAACCATTTTAAGGTAAACTTAGAGGGATTGATATCTTTCGTATGTCTAGCGCGCAGACGAGATTTTATAATTTCATAGTTTTAAGCGGCCTCAATACCTCAACTCGCTTAAAAAATAACGAGCTATAACGAAATGGGCACAGAAATAAAATCTAACATCATTAAATTATTTTTCATATTTGTATAAAAGCGTGGGGTGAAACCCGCGGGTATAAGCTAGTATGTTAATATTTTCACAGTTTTTTCACATACTATCAATTCAGTTATTGGCGAAGCAAGGAAAACTGAGTAATTTAGTAATTAAATTCTACTTAGCAAAAAACTTTGCGTAAAGTATGTGTATTTATTTACAATATTTGCTCTTCGTATAATTCGCTTGCATTCTTGATTATAAAATCATCAGTTTGATCATTTGCATTATCATTTAAACCGGCGAGATCATAGTCATTCATATCATCAACGGGATTTTTCTCCTCTTCTACACCCCCATTCTTCTCCTCACTTTCATCGTTCTCCTTAAATTGTTCGCTTTTGTTCAATTTAATATGTGGATGGCGGCATTCGAATATCTTTGCATAGAACACCAGTTTTCTTTGCAGTATTGAATCAATAAAGTACCTTTGAAAATCCTTAGTACGCATCTTACGTGGCCCATTTGCATGATAATGTGTGCTATAGCCTTCAAAGCGATAGATCACCTTAATTGGATAGTGTTTTGGTAAGTATTGGGGCACTATAACGGTAAAGAAGACTTTTGCAACAGCCAATGGATTAGGACAAACGGGTGTGGGCTTCGAAAAAATTGCATCAAGAAAATATCTAGTACCCTTCCTTGGTATAATATGTGACTTGTCGTTTATCCCAAGCGTAAATTTCGTAGCATCTGATAAATGCCACAAATTTATAAAGTCGCGCACTTGTGTGAATATTTCATTGACTGAAAAATCCTGTATAGTAACCCAATCAATACTCTTCTCTTTGTATTCAGCATCGAAGCTAAGAAATTTATGATGTTCTTTTGTGGTCTTAGTCCGAGGCCTTGGATTAGGATAAAAGAATTCGCCTCCCACATCACTCAATATCAGTTGCACGGCTGTATTAACTGTTTCATTAACCGTATTCGTCAATGTTTGCACAATGTCCTCCAGATCGAAATCTTTTATGTTGTTAAGTGATGCTGATCCAACAGGAATGCAGCCATCATTATTATCGGAGCAACTGGTCATTGGATGAGAGGCCATTACAATTAAACAAATCAGAAAATATATGACAAATAGAAGTTAAAAATCTAAAATTTTTGGTATGTAGTTAATTATTTCTTTGAAATGCGTTTTGTACAGAAAACAGTAAATGGTAGGCAAGAAATTACGTTTGTTATGAAGTGGTTACTAAATCCAAGTCATATTCCTACTAACATTGATGATTCATATTTAAAATAATGTGAAAAAACTACGTTTTAATTTATTAATGTAATTAATGTTACATTTTACTTTTGCTTAACTAAAGCAAAAAGAGTATTACTTCAAAACATATCATACCTAACAATCTTATATCTATACTTGTACCAAGACCTTAATTTAAAAGATATAAAATTAAAATTAGTGCTAACTAAATTCTAATTTAATACTTAAAATTGTTGTGTCATGGTATTTTTGTTTTTAAACCCCCAAAGCCAGTTAAATTTTCAGCTGCTAATGAGTAATTTTGTTATTAACCAAAGTTTGAAACACGTCTACAAGCTTACACTTATATTAAGATTTAAATACGTTACAATCATTTTTATTCGCACAGGATATCGAATATGAAACTAGCACTAGCACTCAAATGTTAAAATAAATGTATCAGCAGCAGCGGCACGTTCACCATGTCGCATTTTAACATTCGGTAACATTTTAATTATATATAAACGTATTTAATATAGAATTAAGCGTTCGTTGCATACTTCATATAATCTTACGAAGTTGACTTGAACAGCTGGGTGCAGTCATTGTAAATAATTACTACGCACTACTAGAAATGTATTTTTCTATCTCCCATTCGCCACCATATTTACTCCGGGTAAATGGGAGCAGTACAATCATCGTGCCATACTACCTGATACTTCACGTTGCGATTCATGGGCTTCTGTCTGCCCGTAACAATATTTGGGCAGCCCATCGCGGTATTTGTTTTCATGGGCTACAGAGTGCGAGTTGGTGCGGCACTTAACTAAACACAACTCGAAATGATCCTCTACATGGGCATATACAGCTGCCTGCCGTCCAGTAATTGTGCGCAAGACTAGCTCCAGCAATGTACGCTTTGCCGGGTGCAGGCAGCAAGATACACAATATTCATACATATCACAGCAATGTGTCGTTGCATTGCATGTGTCGCATGTGTAATATTTTGTTTCGGACACTTCCACATCACAGCAATTACTGGGCAGTAGTAGATGTTCGCGACGGCAGAGAAAGCCGCGATCATCGACGAGCAAATCGCGTCCCTGCACAGAGTTGCGGCAACGCATATCTGGATCGTTGGTGCGATTTTGTGGTTCGTCAGGCAGTAGGTGTTCCTGAAGTGTGCGCCAAATGAGCGGACGTGTGCGCTGAACGGTGAGCACATTATCCGCATGTAGGGCGCTAAGACCGCCATGCTAAGGGAAGGTATTTAGATATGGTTAATCAGTAATGGCCATTTGTTGTCGCCAATCAGCACTCACCTTAAGTAAATTCGTTACTAAAAATACTACGGCAAGTAATGTGATGGTAATGTAGAGTATACGTCGGCCAAGAAAGCGTGGCCACATTGTTCTTCGGTATCTTAAATCGACGTAGTCTTCACTGCTGGCACGCTAGCTGCCGAGATTGTAGTCATAGCGCCGCATGTGTTTACAGGGCTCCCTCGAGGTCTCCACCTAAATCTTCATTGGCGTGACCACCATTGTACGTAGTTTTTTAATTTAAAACATTGTAAATTACGATTTTACGATTTATCTAGTACATAATTTTTTATAAAAACAATGCGCCAATAAGTGTTTTCTATTTTTCTTTTTTTTTTTAATGTAGAAATGCCAGTGTGCAGGCGTACAACAAAACAAAAGCACGAATTGCAGCTTGCGAACAGCTGTTGAGTAGTGTTGCCGGATGAATGTAATTTAATTTTTATTTACTTGTTTTTCTGAGTGATTATGAAACTTGGAAACTTCGATTATTTTTATCAAAGAATGTAGAATGTTTGACTTTACCTAGTTGTTGCCCCTGAACGCAAATCTATAGATCTCGTATGTTATCTTACGTTTATTTCACTTAATTCCTTAGCGCCCACAAAGAGGTAAGAAAACTAAGTGCAACCCTGGTCATGTGTATGGTTTGTGACCGAGATAAACTTAATTAGCTGCTATTTCCGGTGCAATGTTCGTAATGGACTTTTTGAAGTTAGTTCTTTAAGTGCCCACACTTACCGACGTAAACGTACATTAACGTCCGTACAAGAAAAGGACTTTTTCTTGACCTCTTTACTAACACACTAAAATATACACCAAACACAGAAACACATTTGTAAAAATAACCTTAGCAAATGCAATAAGTAGAAAAGGGACCCTTTAGCACTGCTGGCAAAATCCCCATTTGAGAAAGGCACGCATAGTCACATGTACACAAAAGATCTGGTCAGGTTTTTCATATTACCCCCGAATTTCTGATGAGGAAATTGCAGCATTATTGCATCAGCACTGACCGTCAGGTGACCGGTCATTTGCCAGTAAGATTTCTTATAGGGGTGTCTGCTGACACGACCAAACGTAAATGATCGTTCGTTTAAAATCTCCAGTAAAAACCAACCAACTGCCAAATTCCGGCGAATTGTCAGGTGCGTTCGTTTAAAATCTCCAGTAAAAACCAACCAACTGCCAAATTCCGGCGAAATGTCATCTGTTCTCTCACAAGAGAAAAATATCCAAAATAGTACGCGAACAGAAAATTTGCAGAAACTTGCAAGTTAGACGAACAGCTGATATAATTTTTGTTTACGTTCAAAAGTGTTAAATTTAAAACGTGCGAAAAGTCACCACAAAGTGTTATACTGACACAGTTTATTGATTAAACAAATAACCACTTATTTCTTACAAGTTTAATTAGTCGCATTTTGTAATTTTGAACTTCCAAACCACCAAATTCAATTTTGTGATTTGCGTAAATGCCAACCAGCTGTTTTTGATCAGCTGTTTTCCTGTTGGCAAATTGCTGTTGGCGAAAATTTTTCCAGCAGAAACCAGCAGCTTCCCCTCAAAATGAAATGTCACTTTGCTCTCTCAATTTCCCCTACTTTGCAAGTTTTTTACGTACGCGAACGCAAAAACTTGTAAGTTTTGGTTAAACATGAACAATTAACAGCTACGCGAACGCAACTGATATCTCACCATCGCACAGTGGTTCAGCTTGTATGGAGCAACGGTTAAAACTCATTTTCTCGAAAACTAAATAATATTTCGCTATAATTTGGTACACTTGTTACTCTTTGTTCGGGCTAGGTTGGTAATGAAAACGAGTGAAATCGGATCAAAACTGCGCTTGCCTTCCATATAACGGTATTTTTGGAAAAAAACGAAAACTGCGATATTTAAGTAACTACTGCAGCCAAATTACTTAAAATTGATATATACAGTGAACTTTAAGCAAAACATACAGCATTTGATAAATTTTTTTAACCGATTTCACCCAAACTTAGTACACTCACTATTGTTAGCCGCACTCAAAAATTCTTTGCAAATTTTTGACATCGGACAATAACCACGCTGACCTCCCATGTATTGGTATTTTCGAAAGATACAAATTCTACGATATTTTTCTATATAATAACGCTAAATTTCGCAGGTTTGTATTTTGAAAAATAATCTGCCTTATCCTGAGTTTCACCCGAAAAAAAAATTTGCCCGAAAATTTGTCATCCGCCCATAGTAAAACTATGGAAACCAAAAGTGAAAAGTGAACCGGTTCGGGGAAAATGAATCTCAGGATAAGGCTGAATGTTTTTGAAGTTAAATCTTTACGCTAATTTTCCATATAAGTATTCAGCCTTATCATGAGTTTCATTTTACCCTAACCGGTTCACTTTTCAACACTCTTGGTTTTCATGGTTTTACTATGGGCGGATGACAAATTTTCGGGTGAACTTTTTTCAGGCGAAACTCAGGATTAGGCAGATTGTTCATGCTATTACCAAAACCACATAAATTAAAACGTTAATTTTTATAAAACTCTAGTAAGATTCAACATACTTTCATTAAAGCTTCTTACTTTTTGACAAATTCATGTCGTGTCATGAAAGATCGTTCAGATATAAAATTTGAAAAATTAACGCGAATTTTCAACCTTTTGAAGCCAACCTTCTATCTTACTAAAATTTCATAATCTATAAAACTGCTAATTTTCAAAAAACTTAGTTTAATAAATTTGTTGAATGTTGTTCTAAATTTTGTACAAAGTTTGAAACTTAAATTTATGGCTTTAATCATGCAGGATGCAATTTGGTAGCATGTTTTGGTAAAAATATAACTTCTCTCACCAGTTCGAATGCTTGCTTTTCACGTTTTTTTTACCCTATGAGCCCCTTTTCAAAACCGTCGAAGCCTTTTACGTAAACTTTTACACATCTATATCAGGAGTATTCACATTTTCTAAATCTGGTAATGTCTTCTGACTCATGAACCAAAACCAAACCAAAATTTAAAGTTGTGTACAAATTTTTGTAGTTGCACAATTTATCGATTCGAGAAATTAATGCGCTGATGAGAAAACGAAAACTCCTATATCGAGAAGATAAAGTGGCCGGTAATCTAAAGGTTAGATGAGAAAACGGCCCTTAGAAGTATTGAGTCTCTGAAAACACGATTCACAATGAAAATGTGTTTTGTCAACTTTCTAAATCTAAAAAATTTTTATCGCAAAAAAAATTACACGGTAATAAAGTACCATTAATAATGACTGATTGCCTGTCAATGTATCACAGGATAGACAATGTGTATATTTTTGAGTTTTGACCTCCGGCTGAACCACTGTTCAAACGATTTGAAAGTTGAATAAACAAAAAAAGTACACCTACATTTTCACCTTCTTAAATATATCGCAGCAAATAAATATCAAGTTTTGTAAGTATTTTTGTTAATTTGCTTGCGTATGATTTAGCAGATCGGCAAATGATAAAAAAAACTGCTATGTAAACAAAAAATGGCGCCCACGGTGTACTTAACAGTTTTACCAGTTTTTACACGAAAAGCGTTGGCATACTTTTCGGGTTTCCGTTATTTCTCTGAGAGAAATTTTGCTTTTTGTCAGTTTTATAGGTTTTATCAAGTAAAGTTGAGGAACGAAACTTTAGTTGAGTTGTGGCGGAGACAATAAATTTACATCTGGTGTCTGTCCCCGGTATAACATAGCGCAGGACTTCAAAGTGAAGAGGACTGAAGTAGCACTCGCCTCTAATATCATGGATGAAGAAATTGGGGTAGGGGACTCGAATTCTTTAGTTGTTGCCTGAGTTATATGACATAATATAATGCGATCTTTATAAATAAGTGAAAGTTTTATTTCACATACAGTTACTCACAAAATTAAGTATACGCCGATTTCTTAGTACATATGTACATATCGACTGCTGAGTGGAATATCGACCTATCTCGGCAGCCAGTTCGAAAACGCCCTATCTCAAAAAGCTTTTAAAGAACGCCCTATTTCAGAATTCGTTTCAAAAACGCCCTATCTCAGTTGCCGATTCGAAAACGCCCTAAATCAGTACATTTTCAATACATTTTGAAGTAAGATAGGGCATTTTTGAACCGAATTCTCAGATAGGGTGTTTTTCAATAAAATTCTAAAATAGGGCGTTCTTGAAAGGTTGTTTGAGATAGGGCGTTTTTGAACTGGCTGCCGAGATAGGTCAATGATCCAGTCAGCAGTCGATATGTAAATCCAAGTTTCAAACATTGTATGAAATTCAGAAGAACTGTGCAAAGTTCCATCAATTTCACAATTTCTAAAAAACATCGAGTTTGCAGTTTTTTAGTCCATTCCATTTTCGCGTTGATTTTTGATCATTTTTTTGCTGACTGTACCACGCATTTTCTTCCATATAAAGTTTCTGTTAATTTTTTTTTATATGAAAAGAAACGCAAATTTTTAGGCATTTGATATTCACACATCATTGTACAAAAATTAAATGGACTATGAAACGGCGTACTCGATTTTGTTTTAGAAGTTCTTATTAAACATTTTGCAATTTTGAAGAAACATGGCAGAATTCTTCTAAATTTCGTACAAAATTTGAAACTTGGATTTACTTACATATATGATGTTTTATAAAATATGAGCCATGTCTTAATAACAAATTTACCAAATGTTTTTCTATGAAAAATATTGCGTATACTAAATTTTGTTAGTAACTAAATATCAAGTTAAAAATAATAACAAAAAGAAAATTCGTTCGAAAATTGTTGAACAACTATTTCTTAACAAATGAGTATCATATGGGCAGGGGCGACTTTACCTTATGTTTTTTTTAAACAGATTATAACAAAAATTTCCCCCAGCTTTTGCTGAAATGTAAATAAAAGCTCTGTGTATATATTTAGCGCATAATCTCAAAAATTCCAAATTTTGAATTGTGACTCTTTTGAAGACGGTGTGCGATATTATTCAATTATAAGCTAATATATCCTATTATTTGCCATTCTTGCGATGTTCTTATTGGAGGTCGAAAACTGTTTAAATCCACTGAGATATTTGTCTTGGCTTGTCTTGAATAATTTGCTTGGAAGCTCCGAAATTACGCTTCCCTCTAGTGATATCTGTATTCTTCTCCATCCAACCAATTAACGTCTCCGTTTGTTTTTTACTTGTCACCTTTATTCGTCGGCTGCTGTGGTGTACTGGTAAGCAGTGCGCGCTTCCACTCCGCAACGCCTGGGTTCAAGCCCTGGCCAAAGCAACATCGCAAAAAATATAAAAAAAAGGTTTTTT